ATATATATATATATATAAATATATTACATACCAATATAACAACTCACTATAATATTTTTTGGTCTTTTATTAAATTAGTAATAACTCACTTCTATGATAAAACAACAGAAATACACAGTATATATATATATATGTAAAAGTAAATAGCCATGTCATATAAAACTTTTTGTATGTAACATTTTTATAGACTGAAAATAAAGATCATGCAAGTTTCAACTAGCACATATACCACAAATAAATTTCTAAATTTTGCTTTAAGAAAATAATAAAGTTTAAACAATTAAATAACATGGACCATCTTGACCAGAAAGAAAAAATGAATAAAAAAAAATAGAGCAAAAATTTACCATCTCTAGTGCATGTGTGTTTAAAATTGTTTTTGGTTATCTTTGAAATAATCTAATTTTATTATACTAAGAAAGACATTGTAATATAGTAACTTCTCTACATCTTTCAGACTTAAATAAAGATTGTTGTACTTGCAGAAGAGACCTATAAAACTAGGCACATACTACAAGATCAGAATGGTTAGATGTGTCTTGGTAAGAAAGGCAGTTTCATAAGTCAAACTCAAAGAGTACGCATTAGATATATTTTACAGGAGATTTTACCTTTTTGTCCAACTTTTTCAAATTCAACAGGCTCGTTGCTTGTACTTTTTTCTAGTCTGATTTCCTTAACTTCATGATATACATAAAAAACAACAACATAGGATAGCAATAAATAATACATAAAATATTATGAGTAGATATTTCAAGGAATTTCAGATGTATAAAAATGCTTACTTTTATAATATGTAGTAGTTCAAAATATTAATAAAATGTATTTTTACATGAATAACTTAAGCTGTTGTTCAACAACATACACAATCCTTAACTTGGTGTATATTTAAATGTATATAAAAAATCAAGAGGAAAAACATTTTATGTGTATACAATGTATTTATGCTAAAAGTTAATATTTCCGTATCCTGAAAATGTATTTCAGATAGAAACTCACCTCTCTGCACCACAAAGAGTTGTCACTTCTTGTGCCCTGCCATGTAATTTCCTGCACATGGCACAAGCCTAGAATAAAACTACCACTCCTACACTGTCAATGTAAATTGCACCAACCTAGAATGTAATCATCATTAGACTATAACCCTTCACCAATAGGAGGGCAACACATCCACTATGCACAGTAATCCCCATGAACACAGGCTCATACTTGATGAGGTAAACTAAATGCAGTAGAAGTAGAGACCAAGGATGGGAGGTGGTGCAGAGAGATGATTATCTATCTGCAATACATTTTCAGGTAAGGAAAATGTTAATTTTAGAAATGCTACTTATTTCTCTGCACCACAAAGAGCTAGAATTCCACAATGAAGGTGAGAGAAAGGCCAGAACAGATAAATTACAAAAAATGGGCTCCTTTCTGAAAACATTATAAGAAAAGTAAAGTGCTTGGAATGTGGCATCCATGAAGCAGTGGAGTGCCTAGTGGGGCAGCACTCACTCAGAGACCACATCCATCTCCGTAATACTTTTTGCTCAACAGAGATGATAGAGCAAACAATACTGTCATAAGAATCTTTTGCTGGGTGCTAACCTGTTGCTAAGGTGGACAGAATGGCAGATTGCTCAATGGTCCACTATCTCATAGGTGAACAGTTAAGCATGAGTGTGTAGTGTTGCTAGAGCTAAAAGTCAGGTTATTCCATATTGATACTCACCATAAAAACAGATGCAAGGAGTAGCATCCCAGACTTGTGTCCCAAGAGAAACCCAAGCCCTATCTGGATGGACCTAACCACCTAGAATTGCTTGATTCATAACACAGTGGGGTGTCCTCTACTACACTACCAGATAACAGCTCAGCCCTATTTCCCAAATAAAGGGGTGCATCCGCTCAGTCTTCTACCAGTGAGATTGTACTACCTAAACTTATACCGAACGAGGAGAACAACTGAGGAGAAAAGCCTTGAAGAGATCCATCAGAATCAGAGAGTGGAAAAGGTGAAGGGTCAGGTAAGTGATGAAAAGTTGTGGGAAAAGCTACTATATAAGCAACAATCATTGACAGAAGAACCTGGTAAAACAAAAGGCAGTATGATTATGAATAGCAGGATGGCCTGGTGGAAGGGAGTGGCAAAGCGACCAGCAGTGATAAACAGTCCATTTGTTCTCATAGAGGGCCAGTGTGGACATCTAGCAAGACAGAAAACAAGCTACTCTATGTGAAAGGCTTGACCACCAAGCAAGGGACTGGACAAATATTACATGTGAAACCAAAGGTGTGACATCCCATCATGAATGATGGATGTCCATGGCTGGCAGAAAGGGACCACCAAAGGGGGGAAGTGGAAGAGGCTCCCTGGACAACAAATGGCACAAAAGAGGAAACCATAACTGAACCAACCAAAGGACAGCAATTAAAAAGGATCTGACAAGGGGTGTTGTGAATGAGAAACAGAACATGGAGAACAAGGTGAAGAGGAAGATAGGCATAAAGAAAGGGGTTGGACCAATCTTGGCTCAGAACATCAACCCAGAGCTGCAGAATCTGGGATTGGAGACCAAAAAAGAGGAGGTTTGATATGAAGGGAGTCATAAAAGTATTGATCAGAGGACTCCTAAAATTTGAATAAATCCACTGAAACATCAAAAATGAAGAGATTACTCATCAAGAATTATCCTGTGCAAGAGAAACAAATGATCCTCTACCAGGTTCAAAGCTCCAGTGACCTGATGAGCCAACAACTGAATCTCATGGTCACAGACCAAAAGGAGAAATTCCAGAGTGAGAAAGCACAGGTCAAAAGAACAAGTGCCACCCTGATGGTTGATGTGAAATACAACCATAGAAATCACCAAATGACCCATGAATCGAGACTGAAGATGATGGCAAGGTCAATAAGCAGCCAATATTTTCAGGAAATTAATATCAGGAAACCACTCTTCTGAAAACCAAACCCCTAAGATGGTGGTGTTCATAAATGCCACCATCCTGAAAGAGAGGCATCTGTGTACAAATGTAAATCGAGGTGAAGAAGTAGAATACCTAGAGTTGTATTGGAGCAAATGAGCCGCAACAACAAAGAGGGATGGAGAGAATAACGAAGAGTCATGAGGGCTGACAAGGAATCATGAGACATGTACTATTGATTCTGAAGATGGTGGTGCATAGACACCAAAACATGTAGTCTTTTTAGGGCTGGTACCTGTTTTTAATAAATTATTTGTTGTGCAATTATTTTAACATTGTACTCCTTTTAATTGTTTATATACTATAAAACTAAACAATATCAATAGTTGTCAAAAAATAATACAAACTTACCATTGTAGCAACTAATAATAACAGAGTCCACACTGCTGGTAGAAGGAAAAGCAACAACAAAACATTGGGGATACATTCCTGTTGTGGTCCAAAATGTATCTGACTTCCTGTGTGAACAGGATGCAATTTTTTTATTCAAAAATTAGAAAATATCAAATGAGGAAATAACATATTTATCTTTTTATATGTAGTTTGTCACAAAGATACCTTAATGGGGGCTTCAAAATAAAGTACAAAATAACATATAATGTTAAACATCTTTATTAGAATCAACCTGTGCAGCAGACAGTTTCTTTGTAAATGCAAGTGAGCTTACTGTCAAAATCACACCAAATGTATCTTACCCTTACATAGCTAATCAATGTTTGCACTAAGTGTGAGGGCTAAAACAAAGCAGTCTTGAGATTATAAATGAGCATACTTATTTTCATGAGGAAAGAAAATTTGATAATTTTATTTGCAATGTAATATAACACAAAATTTATTTAAACTTTATAAGATGATAAATGAAATATGAAACAAATTTTTTGCTTTTTTTAATTAACATTTCAGCTAAAATATAATATAAAATAACAGTATTAGTCTAATAGGAAAAACCTGTCATACATTCCTACTTTAAAACTGCAATTTAAAAGAAATTAAAGAAACACATATGGCAAAGTATACAATTAAAAAATTGTATAAGTAAGTTCTATGTTATTAGGATGAAATAGAACTGATGGATTTTCTTTCCAAAAACAAGTGTTAAAAACTCATTAAAATTAAATTATAATATGAAGGGGGGGGGGGATTGCAATCAGGTCTGCATATGTGCCTGTCTGCATGTGTTTCCATGCCTGTATCTCAAAAACTAATAGACTATTAATTCATGAACATTTTACACAAGATGGGAAGTCAGTATGGAACAGTCCTCCCCAAATTTGGTCTGGATCCAAATCCGGATCACATTGATTAATTTTTTATAATGGGGAGATAAGGCATTTTTGTGGTTTTGGCCTGGATTAGTGGTTTTCTGTTTACAACTCTAAAGTGTGATAAGATTTGTACCAAATTTCATAGGCACATTAAGGTTGACACCTCATCAAACTACAAAAAATAATCTGAATTATTGATCATTCTGGATCTGAGAAGGATTTTCTGAGTTTTTGAAAGTGAAATTTCATGTTATCCAATATAAATGCATACAATCTCAAAAAGGAGTGGCAGGGCATGGGTACACAATTGCTCTTGTTATAGCTTGTAGTTTCACGATAAAAAGGATAATGATACTTAAGATAAACAACATTATTTATTTATAACAGAAGGGGACGTAGATAAATGTTTTGGAATTCTATAGATTCCATCTTCAGTATCTAAAGCAAAATCAAAGAATTACATTATTCCTAAGTAAATAGCTAAAATACATAGAAAGTGAAGGAGTAACACACAAAAATACTGGACATATTAAAAAATGTGAAATTTTAAAGAAGACTGCATGTTATTCAGTGTTGGTGAAAGTTGTTTGATGTTGAGAGTTTCTTTAATCAGTAATTCCAGATAAGTGTTCGCCTTGCAAAATATACTAAAAATGAAATTTGATAAGTTCGTGTCCTGTTTCTTCACTATGTTGGCGTATAGAGGATGAACTTGTAGTTGTAATACAACTTGTAAGACTAAGTTATTCTCATCTTTTGGCATAGGATTTCAATTTATCATACACTTGAAACTAAAGTTAAACTTCTCTTACAAAGAAACAAGTGGTTACCAGCCTACCCGTCAATAATGTTTTCTGGCGGATACTTTTCATCTGTAGAACTTGCCATCACGACCTTTGTTCCATTGGTGGATAACGCCAAGTTGTTCATGTCTGGTAACAGTAACCCTACCATACGAATTAATACTTTTTATTATGTAAATTTAATAGAAAACGTCATTAAAATTATTAAACTATAATCTTTTTAGTTGCCTTCTTTTATTCTATATGGATGTTTTATAGATGAAAGCAAAATACTTGTTTACAAATGTCAAGGCAACAAGACTATGTTTACAAATTAATTGATTATCGCCCTCTATCGCAATTTTCAATAAAAAAGTAAATATGTATTCTAATAAGTGAAATAATAATTAACAAAATGAGCCATATTCTAATATATTACTCCTCGTATGCAAAATATAATATATGTGCACAGAAAAATACAAAATATTTCAAAACGGAAAACAACTTTAGATCTCTTGCAAGGTGTGCAGGCTATAACTCAAAATGTTTATATTCACTGTTCTGTAACTGAAAATTGACGATTGGGTCAGTGATAATCCAGGACTAGATTCCTTGTAGTAACAAGAGCGTAGTTAGCTCATTGTGTATTTTTGTGCTAATAAAAGAACAAATAAACAAGAATGACAATGTCTATAATTTCACGAATGATAATTATTTGGACCACCAATTAATTTCTTCGTCCATTTTATGTTCTGTCAAGGCTTGTATGACGATCTCTTAAATTTATTCTTGTAGTTTGTACAATTTCCCCTCCTCTTTTTCAGTAACGGTTACAGCATCTATATTTACCATAAGTATCTCGATGGCTGTTAGACTAACCTCGTGCAATGTTTTCACCAACATCGTTACGTAATATGCCTAAGCCTATTAAGAATTAAATAACAACAAAGGACTACAAAATTACTTTAAAAAAAAACAATAATAAAAGGACAGAAAGAAAGGATCCAATTTTATGATGTAGTCAATAGCGACAACACCTAAGCGATGAAAATAATAAAGGTTTTGTTTGAAGTTAAGCACAAAGCTACACAATGGGCTGTCTGTGCTCTTCCCACCTCGGGTATCGAAACCAGGTTTCTAGCGTTGCAGACATGCCGCTGTGCCACTGGGGGGCAATAAGAAAAAATCTAGGAAAAACAATCATTAAGTGTTTAATATGTAAGCTAAATATTTTTCTTACTGTAAATAAACCTTGCCATTTATGGTTTAGCTTCTTAAAACAAAAGCACGCCAAATATTTGAAAATAAGTTTGAAATTATTTCATATGCATTCACAATAAACTTTTTTTCTATATTTTACCCTGAATAATATTTATATATATACTATTTTAATTTCAATTCTTTGACTTAAATACTTATGATATTTCCAGATGACGGCAACAAAGGGACACTTGTTCATAAACTTTAGTTTTGGGTTTTGAGATTAATTTTAGAGTGTCATAAGCCAGGTAAAAATTGTATTCTTGTGTCTTGTTATAAAAATTTTATTGGAAACATTTGGTATCCAATAGTGTCTTTTAACTTGACTTAGGATATTCAGTGATACTGATAGAGTAATAATACTCACTAATACTATTAGTAATAGCTTCTTAAGTTCTTTTCAAATTAGTTGAGTAAGGAATTAGGCTTAGGAGCGAATTAAGGTTTGTACTCGGTTTCTCCAAAGTTCACAAGTGACGCACGTGTTTTCAATTCAAACTTTTCAGTTTTACTTTTAGACTACAGAGCACAGTACAGTGAAGTTTAATTAATGGTTAACGTGTTATAATTTATATTTATACTTAATTTATATATTAATATCCTTAAAATGCCCATATTTGTTTGATTTTTTTAGGAGGAAAGTAACAAAAAATGGTGAAAACTTCCAAGATTGTACAAGAAATTTACAAAATCGCATCAGGCTCAAGGGAGAAACTATTACCTACAAGACTGAGTCAGCTTTTTTTGCCTGCTAATACAAATCTGTTAGATACTAAAGCCCAGATTGAAGGAAACTGTAAGAGCCAGCGGGTAAGATGAGTGAATACAATTAAAAATTATAAACTTCAATTGAAAGACAAATTTCAGGTTTATTTTAATAGAGAGTAATATGAGGAAATACTTTTTTTTAATAATATAGATCATGGGTTTTATCTTTGATATAAAGCAGTAGAAAATTTATTATGTGTCCATGCATTTAACGTTTATGAATTTATTCTCAGATATTGCAAACACAAGGTATAGTTATTCCAGCAGGCCCAGGTACATTTCATCTTCTACCCCTAGCAAGCAAAGCAATGAATAAACTCATAGATATTGTGGATAAAGAAATGAAAAAAATTGGAGGTCAGAAAATATTCATGCCATGTTTAACTACTGGAGACTTATGGAAAACTTCAGGTGAGTTTTTAAGCTATGCATCTTAACACTGAAAATAACTTAATAACTAATTAATATCATATTCTGATCAGAGAAAGCTACACATGTAGATCTAAGTTTAAAAAATCAATCCTGTGACGATTATAAATTACACACATTTTTTTTTTTGTTCTTATGAAAAATTATAATGCATTGTTTCATCATTTGGGTTTCCTTGCTGTTAACAATGCTTTTAGCTCTACACCCTATAATATCTCATGAGGTTCGGCCAACCTAGAAGATTTGATGTAACATAACATTAAAGGACAAGAAGGGACCCTTTGGTCCATCTAGGCTGTCCTATCCATTGATATAAAATAAACTATTTAAAAAACTCATCAAACTCAAGGCCAGATCTTATTCAAATGTTTATCAAGATTTCTCTTAAATTAACTACATTCACCACCTCTGAAGGCAACCCATTTTAGAGGCCAATGGCCCTGTTAGAAAAGTAAAGCTGTTTTAGCTGAAGGTGAATTCTTCCTTACCAAAACTTATATTTGTATCCTCTAGTGTTACCATTCTCACCACTAAATGTGAAAAAAATGATGCATCATTACTATGAATTCCATTCACAATCTTAAACACCTCAATCAGACCCTCTTTAACTTTTCTTTTTTTCAAGAGAAAACATGTTCAGAGGTCATACATAACTTGTCTTCATATGATAACCAAGGTACCATTCTAGTAGCCCTCCTCTGAACTCTTTTGAACAATTTATTGTCTTTTCTGAGGTAAGGAGCCCAAAACAACACAATACTTCAAATTTGGCATAACCAATGATGTATATAATAACATTATAACCTCTGTAGAATTGTATTCATTATTCCTGTAGATAAAACCTAAAATCCTATTTTCCTTGCTATTAGCAACAGCACATTGCTTGGATAACTGAAGAAACTGATCAATTAGAACACCAAGATTTTTTCTTCCATAATACGGTTAGGGTTATTTCCATCAAAATTGTACTTATAATTGAAATTATGATATCCCACATGCATTATCTTGTATGTATTATAATTACAAGCGATCTTCCATTTTTGAGGGGCAGTAGCATCCTCTTCACAGCTAGTAACACCTGAAACTTTAAAGTCATCAGCAAATTTAAATAACCTGTTGAGCAGACAAATGTGTGAACACAAAGTAGTGATAAAAAAAAACAACTAATATAATTGGTTCTTAAACATTAGGCTTAACAGAAACAGCGTTGACAAAAGGCTTAAACTTCTACATGCAAGGAATACTTCAGCTAACAATGACTTTTAGGAAGTTAGAAAGAGTACTATTAAAGCTAAAAGTAGTGAATTTAATTACAATGAACTTATTCTTTTGAGTAACAGATTTTAGTCCTTGGCTTGTGCAGATGAGAAACTATGGAAGGAAAGGAAAAAAAGGGTCAGAGAAGGATGTGGATGATAAACCTAAGGAGATTATAGCTATAGGTGATTCATTGACAGAGCATGTGGATAGGGATAGTCTGTGGGGTAACTAGGGAGAAATGAATATCAACCCCATATGTTTTAGGCTTGTTTTCTGTTGAATTCTGGTTCTTGGGGGTCTCTGCACATGCTTCTGTCTGTGTTTCTGGCCTAGCTGGCAGTTCATGTTGATCTTCTATGTCAAGCCTACTGTCATGATCATAATCTCCAGCAGTGCTGGTATTAACTGAGCCTGCTGAGGTAGGCCATATGTACTGGATCTGTTTGCTGCTGATCATACTGGAAGCCAACCTCAAATAATGTCCAACAATCCCTGATCACTTCCTTCTCCCTTTCTTGCTGAGTCTCCCGTTCACGCCGGATTTGTGCTAGTAAGATGACATGACGAAATTCTGGAAGGAATGAAAACAATTTTAACATCTGAGACCAAAAACCCACCTAATATTTCAGTGGGTTTTTGGTTGAATTTTTGGGACAAAAAAACTCCACATTTCTGAATTTTTACTTCTTCTGTTCATGATTTCTGACTACATGTGAAAGTGCTTTGTTAGTATAAAGATTACAGGTACTTGTGTGTTTTTGCTTTTAATGCACAAAACATTAGCTATTACACTGCTAAAGCATTTATTATAACTTAAAACACACGTATCTATTCTAAGGACATATAAAGAAAATAAAATGTTATGCCAAAAATGAATACTTGCATTTTTGGGTTTGGGTTGTTGGGTACTAATCCTAATTTTTTTCAGATATAAACTTTTATAGTAATTTAATATTTCATCATTAAAAAAATTATAAGTCACCAGAAATTATTTTTTATGAATATTTGTGAAGAAAAGGATGAAGTATGCTGAGAAATCTTCAACTAATATTCAGTAGTAACTCTATTGTAAAAATCTGGAAAAAGATATATTTTTAGAGTATCTACAAAACAGTATAGCTATACTGTAATCATTTATTCTTTATCAATCCTGTTATATGTTATGAAACTAAATATATTTTTCTACTATTTTTATTTTAGATATTAAATTTTTGTATAAATATTTTAATTTAAAAATTTCTGTTTTGCCTCAATTTGATCGACATCCATTGATTATTAACAATTTGGAAGAGTCACTAATCAACAGGAGATCAAATCGAGTAATTTACAAAATTCATTTAGGTTAGGCTAAGTTAAGTTAAGTACAAAGTTTTGTTGTTTTAGTTGTGCTTAATTTAAGTTAAAACTTTAATATTGATACAATTGATAAAACACTGAGAATAAGATATTGATAAGTGATAACAATAAGATACTACATTATTTAACAAAAAACAAATCATTCTTCTGATATAAAGTTTAACCTTGATGCTTAGCCTATAATGGATGTTATACTAGGCCTAATTGTCTAAGCGTAAGCCAGTAGGCTGATCTGAAAAATTAAAATCTTGGCTTTTAAGTCTTTAGGCCATTTGCAACATTAAAAGAAAGCTACATTGCTATTAAAGAAATAACCTAATATATATATATATAATTAAGAACAATCAATGATTAAACAATTACTTACATTTATTCGCATTGAACACTTAACAACATGGAAGTATGTGGCACTTGGGCCCTGGCGCATGGTGTCCCAAATGCAGAACTGCACGTTTTTTGAGATTTAGCAGGAAGGAGGTCGCCGTGTTCTAAATTTAGAATATATGGCAGTTGGCAGAAATTATGCTGGGATTTTGGATGGTGCGCTGGAAAACGCTTGCAGTGCACAAATCTCTCTTTAGAGTGAAATTGTTGTCTTTGACTTTAACTAGAAAATCTTTGTTTTTACTATCAGTTGCATTAGCATTACCAGCAGTTTTTAAATGTTCCTTTATTCAGCCCAAAGTTATGCTATTTTCCATTTTGAACTTGGCTTGGCTTGTTGACTAATTTTGCATCAGTTTTTCTGGTCTATGGATTCGTAGCTTAATAGTATGCAAATTTTTAAAAGGGCGAGTTTAAAGTTGGGGCATTTTTTATGGGCCCTTGGGCATGCACGAGCCCCAGGGTAGTTGCCCCTCCCCTCTTGGTGGGCATGGGAATAATGATATTTCAAAAAAGCAAATTTTGAAGGGATGTGACAAGAATTATCTGTTGTGAATTGGGCAGGTGAATTACTTGGAGAGACAGATCAGATGTGGAAAATTTTTAAATATTCATGGTAAACATATTCCTTACAGAAAGAAAATGGTAGCTGCAAGTAAAAAACCAGGTTGGCTCACAAAGAGTATAAGAGATAAAATTAAAGAAAAGTGTCATAAATTTACTGGTATGACAGGAGACTTAAAAATCAAGAAAGTTGGTCAAATAGGAAAAAGGTTGGCTGAAAATGTAAAAATTAAGAGTAAGGATTTGTTTAAATATATTAAGGGTAAACAAAATGTTAAGATGGGGGTAGGACCCTTGAGGGATGATAAAGGATGATGATTGTGAAATGGCTGAGTTATTTAATTCAATTTCTTCTTCAGTTTTCACTAGTGAAATTTTAGGCAGTATTCCTCGTCTTGAACAGTTGATAGATGGAAGCAGGGTAGAACAATATGACTGCATTAATTCGGAGCTTACATTAAAGTGGGAAGTTTAAAGAATGATAAGGCTCCTGGACCAGATAATATTTCCCCAAGAGTTTTGAAGGAGGTTAAGGATTGGATATGTGAGCCACTTGCTACCAATTTTTGTAAGTCCTTGAATATCGAGCAGGTGCCAAAGGATTGGAAGTTAGCTAATGTCACTCCTCTTTTCACGGGAGGTAACAAAAATTGTCCCAGTAAAAGTTTTGGAAAGTCTGGTAAAAGATGCTTTGCAAAGTTATTTAGCAAAGTTTAGAATTTTATTGGATAGTCAACATAGTTTCACTAAGGGAATCTTTTGCCTTACAAATTTTTTGATACTCTTTGAAAAGATTACTGCTTAAGTAGATGAGGGTAAGGGTGTAGATTTGGTGTATCTGGATTTTCAGAAAGCCTTTGACAAGGTGTCACATAAAAGGCTTGTAAAAAAGTATTTCTAGGTGTGGGGGATAAGTTAGCTAATTGGATAGAAGAGTGGCTGGATGGAAGAAAGCAGAGGGTTGTTACAATGGAGTTCAGTCAGACTGGATTAATGTCACAAATGGGGTACCTCAGGGCTCAGTCTTATGATCTTTGCTCTTTTTCATTTACATCAATGACATAGATGAAGGAATGGTCAAATTTAAGTAATTTATTATAGATGATACTAAAGTCTTGGGTGTTGCTAGCTCTAAAGAGGATGCTGCTGCTTTACAAAAGGATTTATATCATTGAGTGAGTTGGGCAAATAAATGGCAGATGGGTTTTAATTGTAATAAATGTAAGATAATGCATGTGTGTTTGCATAGGATATGTCATGATTTAGTCCCTAAATAATTTTACAGTAGAAATAACCTAAGCACCTAATAACTTAAATCATAGAAAACTCAGTATACAAAGGTAAGTAAAATGGACATACTTAAAATGCATACATTCACAAAATTCACTCAGTATTGGCATGTACTTTCAATGAAGATG